GTGTGTGTGTGTGTGTGTGTGTGTGTGTGTGTGTGTGTGTGTGTGTGTGTGTGAAGAGCTGGGGTATAGCCAGAAGGGCAAGGGGTAAAAGGACACACCAGGGACAGAGTGGGGAGCAGAACAGGTGGATATACTGAAATACCTACTAAGGGGAATAGTGAGACAGGAGATGGCTGCTGCACCATATGATTTAGCTCCTTGGCTGGGGATGGAGCTCAGGCCTTAGTGGTGATAGTGCTGAGATTTAACTCTAGGCCACCAGGGGAGCCCAAGTGTTTATGTTGATTATATACAATCATTTCTATTTTTTTTTTTTTAATGTAGTATATGTTAAATGCTCCTTAATGTGTAGGGGACATTTGTTTACTTGATCCAGTGATGTATTGCTGCTTAACAAGATATCTGAACACTTGGTGGTTTAAGCAGTAACCGTTTTATTATATCTGTTGGGTGGGTAAGGATTTGGATCAAGACAGTTTGCAAAGATGACTTTTCCATTGGTGCTGACCAAGACTGGGGGGTGAATAACAGACAGGTCTAGAGAGTTTAAACATTCATGTGACTCTGGAAGAGCACAGGCAATAGGGTGATGGATGCTGTGGTGGTGGGAGAACTATGGGGACTACCCCTGGAGGGGGGAAATCAAATAGTGTCCAAAATTAACAATGACATAAGAAAAAGTGCTTTATCTAAACATAAAATTTAAAAAAAAGATTTACTTATTTATGCATACAGAACTGGGGCACAGAGACTGGGAGAGGATTTGCCAGAGACAGTAGGGAGCAGAACAGGCAGGTTGACAAAGTACACTGGTGAGGGGAGCAGTGGGTGAGACAGGTGAGGTCTGCTATGTTATGTGGGATTGAACTCAAGTTGAAACAGTTGCAGCTAGCTTTGTAGTGCTGTGCTTTAACCCATTATACCATCAGGGAGGGCCCTAAAAATAAACTAAAAAAAAAAAAATTCATATGATTATTCATGAATGAATGGAAGATTAGCTTCACCTAAGATAACTGGAGTACCTACCTATAGCAAGGAAAGTAAATGACTTAAGTGGAAGCCCAGAGCTCCTAGAGCTTATTCCAAGATTCCAGGGCAGATGCTGCAAGCCTTATGATCTATCCTTGGAATTCTAGAATGTCATTTTCATGTGTTACTGGTTAAGCAAATCACTGAGGCCAAACCAGATTTTAAGAATGTGCACTATGCCTTTCTGTAGGAAAAGTGGTAAAGAATTTGTGATCATCTTTAATCATCCACACCTGGCAATCATTTTGCAAGCCTTGACTGTAACCTCCTTTGTGAAGAGTTAATAGTTTATTACTTGTTCTCATAACACCTTGTCACATAGTAGATCTATACTACTTGTTAACCTTGTCTGTGTCATTTTGCACTTAAAGTCAATCTATATTTTCTGTTGACTTTCACAGTATCATTCATGGTATGTATTGTAGTGAATTCTGCAAGAGGATAAAGGTGCTACAATGGGATGTTTCACATAATATCTAGAGTGGGAACATAGCCAACATTTTATTAATATATATATTTTAAAGATTTGTTTGTATATGCACAAGAGTTTGGGCTTATCCTGAGGTGGAGGGAGGTGAGAGGATTCACCAGAGACAGAGTGGGGAGCAGACCAGGTGGGTGACTGAAATACACTGCTGAGGGAAGCAGCGAACAGCGGGCAAGACAGGAGAGGTCTGCTGCAACATGTAGATCACCTCCCTGGCCTGGATTCAAACTTGTGCTACAATGGCTGCCAATAATTTCATAGCCCTGAGACTTAAGCCCATGCACTGCCCAGGAGGCTTCTGAGCAGCCAACATTTTTTTTTTAATTGGGCCTAATGTATTTTTTAAATAAATAATATAATAGTTTATTTTTACATCATTTTGTGCATTTTTTCCATCGCAGTTGTAATCTCCATGGCAGCCAACATTTTAATTCAGTCCTTTTGAAAACAAATAGGCAGGATTTTCAAGTCTTCAATAAATATTTCCCTTTCCATGAATCTGACCTCCTAGATATAAATGAAGAACTATTAAAATGTGGATATATAAGATGGTTTCTGTTATGCCCTACTCTGAGAAATAATGTTTGTAGTCATTGACTTTGATACAATAATTCAGCCTGCTGATTCTTCAGTGAACATCAGTGTCAACATGTACCTACATACAATCATTTCAGGGTTTTATGTAGTATATATTAAGTGCTACTTTTTGTGTTGGGGACAATGTTTAAAACTGTTGGTAGAATTGGAGTTGTAGCTAGACTCTATATGAATTTTTAAAGAATAATTAGTTCCCCCTTTTAAGTCCTTTCTCTGTTAGTTGTATTACTGGATATTTTTCCTTTCTGACTCTTAAGCAGACAGCCCCCATCACAAATTCAGAGAACACCAACCTTTTATGTCTTGGTAGAGACAAAGCTCATCTTCCCACACATTACCTGGGAATGTCAGATCTGTGCTTTACCAGGCTCCTAGGCAACTAGAGAGACGACATCCTAACTACCCAGAAACCAGTGAAACAGGAGAATTCCTTCTGGTGATAGCAGGCAGCTGTGGCAGCAACATAAGGGCATCCTGGCAGCAATAACAATAGCTGCCGTATCAGTTACTAGCTATTGGTGACCTCATTTTACATTTCAGAATCATGATTTTTGCCACTTTGGTTCTGGCTGCCTAGTCCCCAAGCCTGGATCACCATTGGTCTTCCCAACATTCACCAAAGATAGAGTAGGGAGAACAGTCTTTTGTTGAAATGCACTGTAAAGGGGAGGAGGAGAGGGGCATGGAGACAGGAGCAGTCTGCTGCTCCCTGTAGGTTAGTGCTGAGACTTAACTTTTGGGCCATCAGGGAGGCCCTGTTTTTTCCATAGTTTTTATTGGTCTTATATCTAAGTCTTTAATCTGTTTAAAATTAATTGCTGTGCATTGAGTTGAGAGGGTAAGTTATTGCAGTGAGAAAAATAGTTGCACTTCTGGCTTGTTTTGATTAAAGATTGTAGGCAGGGGAAGCTGCCAGGGATACTATAAGTGGTGGCATTTTATGTGATTGGTTTGGGAAAGCATATTTGGTTTTCTCCTTTGTTTGTGTTGAGGGCATTTTGTGTGTATAAAATAGGGAAGGTGGCAGCTTTTGAGCAAATCCTGACCATTCTGAAGGGATTGCTTCTGATGCCATGGCTTGGCTTCTTATATGGGCCAGTTTTATATTGTCTAGCCACTATTTATATTTTAAGTCTTTGACTCATTATTAGGGAAGTTAGCAGAATGACAAAACTGATTCCATAAGGGTATATGAAACTGAACTTTAATCAGTGGGGAAAGGAAAGACAAACTGCTAAATTGATACAAAACTGTTTCTCAGGACAATGAAATTTTGACCTTCTAATTATGTTTTTGCCCCCTCCCCCCATCACACCAAATCAGTTTTTTTTTTTTAATCACCTAATCTCAGACTTAGTGGGTTGTAAACACTCTGGGCTTTAATATTATTCAGGAAAATACCATTTCCTGAGGGCAGCAACTAAAAATCAAGTGATTTATTATAAAATATTCTATAAAGAAACTTATTTAAAAGTCATACAATCATCTTTTGACTATTTCCAAGTTTTAAATAAAATTTCATATATTGTCTCATTTAATCTTCATAATAGTCCAATGCAAGTAACACATGGTAGTACAGTTATTTCCCCATTTCCCAGATGAGAAAACTAAGAGACAGGTTAGGTATAACTTGATGGGTAGTCAATACTAAGTAATTAATTCACAAGTGTAGATTAGTTGAGTAACTGTCTTTGCTGACAATTTAGATTATAAGGAAAAGTCAATTGTAGGAAATCTGATACTCGCCAGCATGTTGTAGATTTTGAGTAATGACAATTACTTTTTCTGGTGTGGTTATTGTGAATCCCAAATCCTTATTTCTAAGAGAAATTATGTGGTGTGGTTCAAAGAGCACCGGTTAGTAATCAGAAACTGGGCTTTACATCAGGGCTTGCCTTTGCTCTCCTGAGTAAGTCATTAAGCTCCACTTATTTCCTCACTTGTAAAAGGAACAATGTCTTAAGTTTAGGTGCTGGTTACAGGCATTTATTGTAAAGTCACAACCTCCAGCAGATCTTCAACTGTTGAAAAATCAAGTTGTTACTTGGATTAAACAGATCCAGAACTCTCTGGAGAATCTAGTAGATTTCTGGAAATGCAAGATTTTTTTTTTTTTTTTCCATTTTAGCGCCCGCTACTCGCCTGCTGCGGGTTTAGTTCTTGGTTCCACTTACAATCGCTCTCCCGTTGTCACGGGGACCAGGAACGCCCCAGCGGACTGATTCCTCTCCCATAGTACCCCTGCGGCGCACGTGATGGCGCAGGCGCGTTCTAGGTGGTGGAAGAACCGCGTTGGCTGCCGGGACTGAGCTCCTAGCGTCCTAATCAGGAAGTGGCGGGCGGGGCCTCGGGTTGAGTCGCCGCCTCACCGGCCGCTGCCGCCACTGCCGCGACTCCGACCTGGCGGGGCAACGCTGGGCGTGCTTACGGGCAGGCGGGGCTGCAGACAAGAAGCAGGAAGCGGCCGCCACGCCAGCGTGGGCGGCTGGCCGCGGCGGAGGCGCAGGGAGCCGGTGGCAGGTTGCGTGGGGCGAGTCTCCGCGCTCAGGTAGGGGCGGCGACCGTCGGCCGAGGGGCGCGGAGCCCCGGCCTGTTGTTTCTGGAGACCACTGCCGTGGGGCCAGTGTCTCTTCCGTTCCTCGGGAGGATGGGGTTTCCGTTCTCTACGTGCAGCACTTAAAAACGCCTACAACTTCTTGGGAGCTTTGTGTTTTAGGCCGGAGTTTCATTGAGCCAAGTAGAAGGCTGGAAGGGGACAGTCTCAGTGTTTGCCTCCACCTAACCCCAGAGTTTACATTAGCAGTCGCCAAGCAAGCCATGTGTGTGGAATTTGGGGGACCACGTTGTCCAACCAGCGAAAGACTGATTTAGATGTTCATTCATCAACTTTTTTTTTCTGGAGACCTAGTTTGTAGTGATTCGTAAACTTCAGTTACAACATTTTCTGCAAAATCTAAAGACATTTTCCAAAACAATGCAGCAGTAACTTTTTCTCCTACCTCTGCATTTCTGCCACTTCAGAGGTAAAGAAGTCTCTCTTAGCTTTTCAGCTGATGGTAGTTGTGTTCTTATGTGCTAGTGGCACCTGAGGCTCAGTCAGGGGAAGAAACAGTAAAGAAGTAGGACGATTGAAAGACTTGGACTTCCAGCTGAAAGATTTTGACATAATTGTTGGTTTTTCAGATCCACTGGTGGACAATCGAGGGTCGTGTTAATTCCCTGAGTTGTGGCGGTGGTTTGGTGGTTTATTTTGTTTTTAAATGTAGAATGGACAGGGTGATGTGTCCTGTATATTACATAAATAATGGAGCACCTTGCTTAAAACGAAATTAATCATTGTGACTTAGAGTAAGAAAAAGGAGAAATTGGGCGGAGCTTGTGATTGTAAAAAAACACATTAAGCCTCGTGCTCTTGGTGCCATTTGAATGTTCCTTTTAAAACACAGGTGTCTTGTTTTAGAGTCCTTTGCCAGCATTGCAGGTGTGGTGTAAGGAATACTGAATTTTAAGAGTTAAGATTTTCCGGTCCTGGCCCCAGTTCAACTAGCCATGTGATTTTAATCATAGCGCTTCTATTGAGATTTTGCATATTAAAATAGGAATAAAACTAGTATCTGTTATTGAATAGTGAGGATTAAACACCAGAAACATTTAGGTCTTTGTGAAATGTAAGGCTTTCTTTAAACTATGAAACTTGAAAAGCCCAGATTAATTACCTGCCTTTATATGGTGAAAATAAAGAAATACAAATATGTTTTGTTTTAGTTTACAGATTGCTTGTTGCCCCCACTTATCACTTGTTTGTTCTCTACTTTCCATGTTCCAGTCCTCACCATTTCCCTCTTGCCTTTCCCAAGACTTTCTCCTACTTTCCTCATCCCATTATATCCATTGTTAATACCTTTTTAGAACCAGTTCAGTGTAGTAATAATGAGATAATATGTGTCTAACTTTACTATTAAAAAAATTACTCATGTTTTCTCATCTACATGGTAGACAGCATTGGTAATATGCTCATTTATGATAAAGTAGAATTTAGAAAGGTGTAGTGGGTTGCCTGGGGTCATGGACTTTTAGTGGATTACAGCTGAGAGGAGGGAGAAGACTGGTCTTTGATTCTCTCCGGTGACTATTCCTTACTTGACTGAAGCTTACTCTAATTGTCAATGTTCAAAATTTTTAGCATTCCAAGTCATATTGATTAATTTTTAAGGTGCTCAGTGGTTTCATAGTCTCCAAGGTAAGCTGCTTGAAGTGAAGGATTTATCTTCCAGAATTTTTAAAAACTTCTGAGTATAGTGCCTCACAAACAAGATATTTAATAAACTTGTGAAAATAGTAATAATGAGATTGAACCAATTTAGAATGTTTTTCCATGTATTATTCATTTGACAAATAGTTTATTGTGCCACTCAACCTGCGTTTGAAGGCTTTGAGAGTATAAAATAGGGTTGTTATCTCCACAAGTTTTGTTCCTGATTTATGGATAATAATCTTACCTGTAAAATTCATTCACAGAGATATCTTAAATTCTTCTTGGACTTGTTACAGGCTTTATAGAGACTTCAGACTAGACTGGAGTGGAATGTTTTTAAAATTTTTGTTGATTGACCTTGTGGCTTCCCTGGTTGTACTAAAGTTACTTAGAATAGTTGAGTTTTAGAAGTGGGGAGGTAGGGGTCTGAGGAGGTCATTTAGTTTCACCTTCCTCCCAATTAGGAATTTTCCTTTCAACAAATTTTTTTTTTTTTAAAGAGTAAGTTTATTAGAAAGAGACAGGAAAGGGGAAGACACTTGGATAGGTGCAGGTGACAGGAAGAGCTGCTCCAAAAGGGATGGGTTTGCAGGGAAAGAGACCTGCATGGTTGCAGGCAGGCAGTCTTAGGAGAGCGGCCTCCCCTGAGTGGCCTTCCCTGCAGAGAAGTCAGGGCATGGTACAGGTCAAGGGCAGGCAGGAGGCTGCTGCCCTGCAGAGGGAGAGAGTGGGTAGAAAGAAGCACCTGCATAGGCACAGTTGGGCAGTGGAGCAGCTGCCCCTTTCAATATTAATGCAGTGTCTTCACTTAATACCTCAACCTGTTTTTAAAAGACACCGTCTCACTTATAAGCAGTTCTAATGGTTCTGTGTCTGGGGGCACACACCTAATATGCCTGTTAATTTTGCCCCAGTAGTCCTGTTGGTGTTTCTAGAACAACATTGTTAAATAGCAATGTAATATGAGCTGCCAAGTGAGAGCCACATGTGTACTTTTAAATATTCTAGTAGCCTAATAAAAATAAAAGGATATTAATTTTAGTGTTTTATTTAACCCAGTGCATTGAGCGCATTAAGTCAACATGTAATCATTGTAAAATAATCTCATTAGTAAATTTTAAAGTTTTCTTTGCAGCAAGTCTTTTAAAATAGGGTGTGAAAGAAATATTTTAAAAATTACAACAAAAAAGAATAAAATACTTAGGAATACACTTAACCAGAGAAGTGAAGGCTCTGTACATTGAAAACTATAAGACATTGATAAAAGAAATAGAAGACAAATAAATGGAAAGAGATTTTGTGCCTATGGATTGGAAGAATTAATATGTCCATTTACCCAACACAGTCTAGATTCAGTGCATTCTCTGCCATACTTTTTTTTTTACAGAAATAATAATAGTCCTGAATATTGTGTGGAACCACAAAAGACCCAAATTAAACAAAGCTATCATGAGGAAGGGTAGCAAAGCTGGAGCTTAATAGCTGGCATTTTCACACTTTCTGATTTCAGACTATTTGTTTTCAAACAGCTATAGAGGTAAAAACCATAGTATTTACATAAAAAACTAGTGCAAAGGTCAATGGAATAGTTTTGAGAGTTCTGAAATAAAGACATGCATAGATAATGAATTTACAAGTGACCTGAGAGTGTACATTGTGGAAAAGATAGTCTCTTCAATAAATAGTGCAGGAAAAACTGGACTTTATATTGTGCACAAAGATCAACTGAGATTGGATAAAAGACTTGAACAAAAAGTTCTTAGGAAAAAACGAGGCATTGACTCCTTGTTTTTGGTCTTAGTTATTTTTTGGGATTTGACACAAAAAGCAAAATCAACATGTGGGACTACATCAAAGCAAAAAGCTGAACAGCAAAGGAAAGCATTAACAAAACAGGTAGCTATAGAATGGGAGAAAATATTTGCAAATTGTCATATCTGGTAAGGAGTTAATAATAAAAATATCAAGAACTTATACAACATAATAGCAAAATAACAATCCAGATAAGTGGACAGAAGAACTGAATAGACATTTTCCCAAAGAAAACCTGCAAGTGACCAACGAATACATGAATAGGTGATCATCAACACTAATCATTAGTGAAATGCAAATAAAAGCCACACTGAGACAACACCTGATACTTATTAGTGTGGCTATTGTAAAAAAATGGATAACTAGCTGCTGCTGAGGATGTGGTAAAAAGGGAGCTCTTGTGCACTGTTGGTGACAGGTAAATAGGTGTAGTCACTATGAACAATAGTATGGAGAATCCTAAAAAAAAAAAAAAAAAAAATAGAACTGCCATAGGACCCAGCAGTTCCACCTTTGGGTATTTGGAGAAAATTAAAACAACACCAAAAAATATGTACCAGCACGTTCACTGCAATATTATGTACAATAGCCAAGACATGGAAAAGACCTGAGTGTCCATCCCCAGATAAAATATATATGTGATGCGTATTATCCAGCCATCCATGCAGACATTATATTATGTAAAATAAGTCTGACATAGAAAGACAAATACTGTATGAACTGACTTACATGTGGAATCTAAAAAAACAGACAATAGTCTGATGGTTAGCGATATGTGGAAAGTTGTGGTGTGGAGAAGAAATGGGTGAGAGTGGCCACAAGAGGATCTTCCATAAGATAACAAATGCTAGGGATGTAGTATACAGCATGGTGACTAAATTTACCAGTACTATACTACATACTGGAAAATTGCTGAGAGAGTAGATCATAAAACTCTTCATCACTGCAAAAAAAATTAACTGTGATTGGTGTTTATCTTATTGTGGTAATCATGTTACAGTATCTGTGAACATCTTCTATACCTTGACTAATTCATTGTTACATCTCAAATATAAGTATTGTATATATAGACTACATTTCAGTGTTAGTACCATTTCAGATGCTCAGTAGGCACATGTAGCTAGTGACTATGTTACTGCACAACTTAGTTTTGAATCTTTAGGAAATAATCCTAGTTCTCTTTTCTAGCAAAGTGCTTGATACAGAATAGGCATTATGTTTGAGTGAATGAATAAATGCTAGAGAATTAACAAAAGGTTCTTTTGTTTGGGAAATGCCAAGAGATCTATGGATTTGGTTTATTGGTTTGGGTGACTTGAATCTGAACTAAAGATACATGTTTTTGTCTTGGCAGCATTATGGATCCAAGCCTGTTGAAAGAACGGGAGTTATTCAAAAAACGAGCTCTTTCCACTCCTGTAATAGAAAAACGTTCAGTATCTTCTGAAGCATCTTCGTCGTCGTCATCGAAGAAGAAAAAGGCAAAGCTAGAACACGGGGGATCATCAGGCTCTAAACAAATTTCCGGTTAGTAAAATTGATTAAGACTGTTTAGGTTTTACTTTTCAGGAAACCATTTAGTTGTAGCAAGTTTATTTTTCAGTTTAACATTCTGTTGATTAGTAAGTGTTAACTAGAAGAGAAGGAACAATAAGAATTTTTGCTTTTAAGATGTAAGTCTAGGGGGTGTAGTTGGAATTTAGATTCTTTTTAAAAGGGTGATGATTGAAATTTAAATTACGTACTTTACAGTTAACTTGTCCTAAGTGTATAGTTAAGATTTCTAGTAAATTTACACTGCTTTGCCCTCTGCCCAACAGAGAGTGCCCTTTTGTGGTTGCTCCTTATCACGCCAACCCTAGATAGCCAATAATCTATTTTCTGTCTCTGTATATGGGCCATGTCTGGATATTTCAAATAGAATAGCATAGTTTGTGGTCTTTTATGTGGCATCTTTTACTTAGTAAGATATTGTGTTTCATCCATGTTGTAGTTTATACATAATTCCATTGTTTTGGCTGAAGAGTATTCTACTATATATGGATGTACCAGAATTTGTGTATTGTTTCTTTATTATCTAGTGAACATTTAGATTATTTCAGCTTTTTGGCTGTTACGAATAGTGCTGGTGTGAATTTATGTATAAGTTTTTGTCAGAACAATGGTATTTTACGTGGAGATAGACCTTAGTGGAATTTATGGGTCATGTGGTAGATTTATGTTTGTGTTTTTAAGACATGATCATGGTTACACCATTTTATACTCAAATTAATGCAGGAATGTTTCTTCCACTTTTTACTCACTGTTGCCAAAACTTGTTATTCCTATTCTTTCTGATCATACCCCTATTAGTAAGTGTAAAGTGGTATTATTGTGACTTTAGTATGTAGTTTCATAATGGCTAATGATGTTAAGTATTGGTCTCTGTGTTTATTAATTATTTGTGTCTTCTATGTTGAAATGTGTATTCAGAACTTTCTGCCCACTAAAAAAAAATGGATTGTTTTGTTTCCTATAGATTTGTAAGAGTTCTTTGTATATTATGAATATAATTCCTTGATCCTGTGTGTTCTTGGTGTTATATCAAAGAAATCTTTAACTCAAGATGATGAAAATGTACTCCTATGTTTTCGAAGAGTTTTATCTCTTATATTTAGATCTGTGATATGTTAAGTTACAGTATGTGGTTTAACCAAAGGGTCTAAATTCATCTTGTGTATGGTTATTTAGTTGTCTTCCCCCACCCCCCCAAAGACGAGTTTTCCCACTGACTTTGGCTTTAGTGTTGACTGTGAGTTGACTACATAAAGAGTTTATTTTGGGAATATATATATTTTTGGAATATATGTAACCTATATATTGATCCTTATGCCAGTAATAACTCTTGATTATGGTAACATTGCAGTTAAGTTTTGAAATTGGAAAGTATAATTCCTTCTACTTTGTTTTTTTTTTGAGATTGTTTAGGTTTTTTCTGGAACAAGACCAGCCCATCAGCATCTGCAAAAGAACCAGCTAAGATTTTGATAGGGATTGCATTGCATCTATAAATAAGTTTTAAAAAAAGGGAAACATTATCTATATTACATACATGTATGTGTGTACACATATATTTGGTGTGCGTGCATATATATATTTGCATATAGATAAGAATTGCTATCGTGGCAATATTCAGTCAATCAGCATGAATATTTTTAATTTTCAATATTTTGTAGTTTTTAAATAAGCGTTTTATACTGAATTTGTTAAATTTATTCAGTATTTTTTTATAAATGGTAAAGGAAATTTTTTCCTTAAGAAATTAACTTGATTTTGGGGTGGTTTATTACTATTATATAGAATCTTTTTATATATTGATTTGTATTCTGCAACCTTGCTGGGCTAGTTTTTCTTCTTTTCTAGTACATATGTCTTTTACTTTTCTTGATTGTCTGGTCTGCCTGTTCATGTTGAATAGAAATAATGAGATTGGACATCTTTGCCTGTTCCTGAACTTAGGGTGGGAGCATTTAGTCTTTTACCATCATGTATGATGTGTGGGTATTTTGTTAGGTTGATCAGGTTGAAGAAATTCCTTTTCATTTCTTGTTTGTTGACTGTTTTTTTTTTTCTGCTTGTATTTTTTTTTTTATTAAAAAGTTTATTTTTACATCATTTTTCACATTTTTTTTTCATCTCAATTGTAATCCCCACGGGTTTCCCATCACCAAATCACCCCTGTGCCACCACCATAGTCCCGTGTTGACTGTTTTTAATCTAAAATGGGTATTGGATGTTTTTAAAGTTTTTCATCTGCTTCTAGTGAGATGATTGTGTTCTTTATTCTTACTGTGGTATATTATTTTAATTGATTTTTAGATGTTAAACCAGCCTTGCATTCTTGGACTCTTACTTGGGCTTACATAGTAAGTAACCTGTATTATTTGTGGTAGAATTCAGTTTGTAGATACTTAGGATTTTTTTTGTCTTCATTTGTGAGGAATATGGCCTGTCATTTTCTTGTGATGCCTGTTGGCCTCAAAGTGATTATTTTTTGGAAGAAGATGTGCAGATTTGGTATTCTTTGTGAGAAAAAAACTAAGAATTTCTTCTTAGAATCTATTCATGAGTTTATTTGGTATTTTGTGTGTTTTTTTTTTTTTTAAGGAGTTTATACATTTCTTCATTTGCATTGTCAGAAGTTTTCCTAACTCTTCCCTTAGCTAATGTTCTAGTTTCTGTAAGGTTTATAGTGATAACCCTCCCCTCTTTCACTTTCAATTTTAGGAATTTTTTTTTTCCTTGTTAAGGTTTGCCTATTTTGTTCTTTTCAAAATTCCCACTTTGGGTTTTATTGATTTTTTTTCCCTTAAAAAATATTTCCACTGCTGTAATTTTTTTAAAAAACTTATTTTAATTATGCATACAAGAGCTGGGGTGTAGACCAGGGTGGGGGTGGTAGTGAGAGGATTCACCAGAGACAGTGGAGAGGAGAACAGGTGTATTGACTTAAATACACTGTTGAGGGAGCATTGGGTGACACAGGAAAGGTCTGCTGCGCCATGTGGGTCAGCTCCCTTGCTAGGAATCAAACTGGTGCTGTGGTGGTTACTGATAGCCTCATAGTGCTGAGACTTAGCTTCTTGTACCACCAGAGAGACTCCACTGCTGTATTTACTATTTCTTCCTTGTTTTATTATGGGGCTAGTTTATTCTTAGACTGTTAACTTTCATTTATTTTTAAAGAATTATTTATGTGTATAAGAACTGGGGCATAGGTCAGAAGTGGTGAGAGGATTCACCAGAGACAGAGTGGAGAGCAAAACAGGCAGACTGATGAAGTACACTGCTGAGAGGAGCAGTGGGTGAGACAGGAGAGGTCTGCTGCGCTTTGTAGGTCATCTCCCCAGTTTGGGGATTGAAGTGGTGTTGAAGTGGTTGTGACCAGCTTTGTAGTGTTGTGCTTTAACCCTTGCATCACCAGGGAGGGTCCTGTTAACTTTTAAACAAGATCCGTGCAACTTATGTCACAACAGAATTTATTTGCCTATTTCAAAATGTGGCAGTGATAATTTTTCTTAATGTCATTTTGTTAGATGTTCTTCATACTGTTTTACTATCTAATGCTAAAGTAGAACTAGTCTTTTTACCAATTTAGGCCTATCATTCTTATTACCACATAAATTTAGCTGATTATCTTTCATTCTTATTGAGTTTATATTGAATTAATTTATAGTGAACAAAATTTTAATTTTTGTAAACATTAATTAGCATGGTGTCATTCTTAGACCTGGTCTTTTGGGTCTGCTTAAGAATATCTTTGCCATTTGTAGTTTTGGCTATAGGTAATGAGTAAGGAACTTCATCTTCACAAAGAACAGATCTTATTCAACAACAGGAAAAATCTGTGTAGGCATTACTTTTCTTTGGTTGGCCACAATTATCCTTGAAAGTGTGAGATAGAATACGATAATCTAGTTGTGGAAAGTCCTAAAGTCTCAGTAGCTATAGTTTAAAATAAGAAATGTTTCTCTTTTCCCATATTTATCATGGCTTGATGTGACTCTCAGCTCATTACAGTCCCTCAAGGCTCAGGCTATGAAAAGCTGATACTTCAAATATGCCTAATATTTGGACTAGAGGGAAAAGGAACTTGAGGGTCCTGCCCCGACAGTTTAATGTGCTAGCCTTGAGGTGACATGAATCATTTCCACTCATAACTTGTAGAGCTAGTTAACAGGGTTGTACCTAGCCAGAAAGGATTCCTAATTACAGTGTTTTCATGTACTCAAAAAGGAGAGCTGGAAATACTAGGTGTAAACACTGCAGACTACCTACCCTACCATGCTAACTTATGCAGGTCACTATCATTAGCTGCTTACCAGAGCTCCTGGTTCAGCTTTTCTTTTGTCCATTCTTTGTAAAGCCAGCACTGATTTTTCTGACCTGACATCACTCTGATTAAAGCTGATAATCATAACTTTTCAAGAAAAGCCCATCTTTTCCTGCAGCCTACCTATTCTGTTTTAGCTTGTCTTTTATAGCCATATCTCACTGTTCTCTGTCCCAAAGACATTGGCTGATAACTCCTTTAACTTGCTTTACTCTCTTTTGCCTCTTGGGTGTTTGCTCTTTACTTCCTTTTCCTGTAAGATTCTTTTCTTACACCTTTTTTTTTTTTTTAAAGATTTATTCATACAGAACTGGGGTACAGGTCAGAGGCTCAGGGGCGGCGAGAGGCTTCACCAGAGACAGAGTGGGGAGCAGAACAGGCAGATCTACGAAGTGCACTGCTGAAGGGAGCAGTGGGCGGGTCAGGAGAGGTCTGCCACGCCATATGGTCACCTCCGGGGCAGGCCGGAATCGAACTCATGTGGAAATGGCTTTAGCTTCTCAGTGCTGTGCTTTAACCCACTGCACCACCAGGGAGGGCCTTCTTACACTTTCTTTTATGTTTTACTTAAAAGTCACATTATTCCTACTTTTCCTATCTAAATTCAGTACTTAGTTTATGAATTTCTGTAGCACTATTTTTGGCAAAATTACTGTACTTGCATGATTACTTGTGTGCCATTGTATCCTAATCTTTCTTGCTTAGAACTCAATTTGTATTTGTTGAATTACTAAAGAAATTACAGGGTGAAGTAGGGAAAAGTTGATAGTATGTCTTACCAAAACATTTGGTTATTAAAAGACCTGTATGTTTTCATCTACAGTAAGGATTTCTTTGTTTTCTTTCTCTAATCTTATTTATTAAATTTATTTCTTACATCTTTGTTAAATTTTGGATAGTAATTGATTTCTCTAGGTATAGTTATCCCATCACCATGGCACTTGCAGTTTAGCTCCACAGTGCCTTTTGCTCTTCCCTCTCCTATTTTGATCCCTCTTCTTGTCCCTCTCCTGCTGTATGCCTCAGCTTGCGAGTTTTGTAATTTTCCTGACCCTTTGTTTGGTTTCTCTATATTCCACATTAAAGTGAAGCCATCTGATACCTACTTTTCCCTTCATATTTCACTTAGCATAATTATCCCTTCCAGCTCCATCCATGTTGCCACTAATGTCATGAGTTCACTTTGTTTTTTGATTGTTGTGTATAATACCATATCTTACTGATCCAGTTGTCTCTTTGGGCATTTAGATTTAGATTCCCTTTCTTTGCTTTGTAAATAGCGCTGCAATAAATATATGTAGTAAAGATTTCTGAGTTAACTGTTTATGAAATTGTTTCAGTCCTGCTCAGAAGAATTCCTGGTTATCAAAGTTTATCTTGTATATCTGAGTTTCACAGTTGAAAGTGATTACATTATTTGTATTTATTTCTAATGTTAGAAAGTCAAATAAAAATTTTGTTGAAAACCACTTCAGACTGGTAATTAGGGTTCTCTAAATTGAAAATGATAGATTCCTGCTGTCTTTCTTTCACCACATTTATTGTAAAAGCATTATTCTATCAGTAGTAGAGATTTAAAAAATTCTTTATAATCCCTAGTACTGTTCTCTGCCTTCCTCCCTTAATATATCAGCTATTTTAATTTATTATGGTGTTTAGGCTTTATTATAGCATAGCCTAAACTGTATCATCTGTAGTTGTATTAAAATGTTCTGAATTTTTTACTTCACATTCATATTTCAAATATTTTGTTTTGTCATAATTTTCATTTCACTTTTTCAATATGTTAAGGTACCATATTTAGTTAAAGACTTAGTTATTTCCAATCTTAGTTATTTTAGTAATGCCTCTACAAACATCTTTGTACCTTGAACATTTTTCTTTTGGATTAATATCTTGGTGTGGTATTTTTAGTCTAAGGACAGTATGGTGTAGTAGATAGAGCATGCTTTGATTTGTTTGTGGGTAGTAGCAAATTAGTTTTATGGTCATAAAATATATTTGTACATTCCTTGGAATTCAAGACATTAAGACACTAGTAATTCTTAGCAGGTGTTGAATGAAAGTCCATTGACTTTTTCCCTAGTATTTTCTGCATTGGGTATATTAGCCCTCTGGAACATGAATGTGAGAAGCAAAATGAAAGAATAAGCTCAAAAATGCAGTTTAGGGGATGTGCTGGTAAGTTTCATTTCAAAAATAGCCTGGCCCTTCTTAGACCATGTTTTTCTTTTTTAACACTATGTCAGTCTTAGGAACATTTATGCAGGTATACTTGTGAATTTCTGGAGTATTTTGAACTTTTTTTTGTCCCTACACAATTATCCTATATAAAGCTAGGTCATTAAAAAATGTGTACATTATCTTCAGAAACCATTGCCATTTATTGAATAATATCTTTATAAGTAGAAGTATTTTATTTTGGATAGCATCTAAATTGCATTTAGATTACCAAAACATGGAGGATTCTACAATCTTTATAACTGATTTGTTTAGATAATTAGCTATATTTATGCTTTCCAATTTATCTTCCATTTGCTACTTAATATTAAGTTCTAGGAGTCTTTTATCCAGTTTTTGAAGTATCATTTCAATAGGTTGATAAGTTATTCATGTTTATGAAATTTTAATGCATATAATGAATACACACACAAAATGCATTTTTAATTTTTTTTGCTTTTCTAGTAGAAATCTTTTAACTATTCAAAGTTTGAGTTGGCCTCAGAAAATTATTTCTCAGAAGTTGAAGGCTGCTTTCAAAGATGCTCATCTTATGTAGCATGCTAGACCACTTCAATTTCACGTTTTCTTATGTTGTCCATCATACTTCTAAGAGGGTTAGGTTCACTTTTCAAGTCTTTCACAGTTTTGTTTTTTACACAGCAGCAGCAGTCAAGTACTTCATAAAGGAAAGCCAGGACCACTAAAGACACCACTGTAAATATAAATAAAAGCAGAATGACAAAGCAGGCAGTGTTCCAGTTATCATGGAAAGGATAAATTTTTTGAACTTGAAAACCAAGGTACTGGTAAACAGATGTAGTAGTTTCATTCCAGAGGCTGGAGCTCAAGGAGGCCATCCTTAGGGAGTCCACTTCCTGTATTGCTCTTTTGAATCTGTAAAAAGGTAGAAAATTAATATGTGACCAAACTCTACAGATGTGCCAATTTAAATCTTAGCACTAAGATTTGTTAGTAAATCTGAATAGGCAACATGAATCTTTCTTAATTTCTGCCAGATTAAAAACCTGAATGTTATGTTTGACTATTTTCTGTATTTATGCCAATATACTGTGTAAATTGTACTATATGTATTTTTAAATGTATATGATTTTTTAGACGTTTTAAGATTTATATACAGAAACTACTAGTGGAAGGGAAAAAAAGACAACTGAATGGGTTTAAAATTTTACTAAAACAGTGGTCAGTGAACTGTTATTCACAAAAGAAGTCTTATGGTTTTAAGATTGTGTTCCTCACACTATCATTAGAAAAGATTTTCTCATTGGCCTTTTGATTCTTTTCACCTCGGTTTAGTGTATTTCTGTCACTTATTTGTGTGCGCTTAAAGCTCAAGGACAGGTGAGTTTAATCAGAAGATAATTGCTCAGTGAAGTATTAGAGGGTGACAAAAGCCAAATGACATTTCAGAATAACAATAGTACAATTTCAGGTTAAAGCTGTCTATGAAGATAACCTTAATCTTAGAACTTTTTCTTTTTTTTCTTTTTTTTAAAGATTTATTTTATTTGTGCATACAGAACTGGGGTACAGGCCAGAGGCTCAGGGGTGGCGAGAGGCTTCACCAGAGACAGGGTGGGGAGCAGAACAGGCAGATCGACGAAGTACACTGCTGAGGGGAGCAGCGGGCGGGTCACCATGTGGTCACCTCCGGGGCAGGCGGGAATCGAACTCATGCGGAAGTGGCTTTAGCTTTTCAGTGCAGTGCTTTAACCTGCTGCGCCACCAGGGAGGGCCCAGAACTTTTTCTTTTTATGTATATGATAGACTTAATATTCATGTACATAAATGATAGGCATAAGTAATTTAAAAAAAAACACAGAAATCAGCCCCAAAAGATTATCCAGATGCTAAAGTTTTATACCTTTTCACATCATCTGCACTGTTGATATCTTATAGGCAAACAGGGCATCCTGCCAATTTGAGGTTAAACTGACAAAGGCATTTTAGCCTGCCAGAAGGATGGGACCTGAGACTGTGTTAGACAGGAAACTGGGGGATTCTGGTCTTCTGGATGGCAGAAGCATGCTGACTCATTGGAGATAAGGCCAACTGTCAGGTATTCCTAGTATTCGTAGTGCACTGAGACACCAACTTTCCCATCACAGGGATCACCTTAGAGGCCTTCGTCAGCACCTGAGTGGGGAAATTGGCAAATTTGAGAGTTCCGTAATTGCACTGTCTGCTAAGCATTGTCAGACTAGCAAAGAACTGGAACATTGGAACCTGGTGTTTGAAGAGGATGCAGTAAAGACCAGCCTTTACTGATTCCACAATCAGTGCAAATACTCAGTTCTTTAGCACCAGGTAGTGTGTCTGTGGCTATGTGGCTGCATCCCTATTGCTTTGGGTCATTGCTCTTTCCTGCAACGTATCCCAAAATCAGTAAGATAACCTGGAACCCAGTGGCATAGAAGAGCAGCTTCAGGGCCTGCCAGGTGGGGCTATCTTTTGTAAGTTCTGCCCAGGGACCAGGGGAACCTTTTTCGAGGCTTTGAGCTCATGCAGTATATACAAATTTTCACCAGAGGGAAGCAGAGACCTCTGCCTGTCTGCAGGTAGTTCTTGTACCTAAAGTACTACACTGGCAGGTAACCAGGTACCATTAAAGCTGTCATATCCAGCAGCATTCACCAAAAAGTGGAAGATCTGTTTCTGGGTCCATGACTCTGGAGGGGCTTCTGGGGTCTCCCCACCTGCCCCTAGAGAAGGGAGTGCAGCAGCCGCCACCACCACTGGCCACCTCTGGTATTTGTGGTTCAGTCACATGGGGTGGAGTGGGTATTGGGCTGATGAGGATCTGTGGGCCCATGTGATCCCAACTACTGTTCCTAGCAGCAGCCAATAAGCCATCCTTAAGATTTTTAGCTCTACTTAAAGTTTGATAATCCTGGGAGGGGTGATAAACAGTTAAGAGTTATTTTTACTTCATTGTGAATGAGTTTCAGGTTCTTTTAAAAGAGCAGTTAATAAAGGAGAGGAAGGAGAGAGTAGCACCTTGTGGTAGGTAAAGACCAGGAGGAATTTCTTAAGGATCTGTTTAATATTTTTAATTGGGCTAACCTAGGCCGTCTATTAAGACTTTAATATTTCAGGGTCTACCTGGAGGCATAAGGGGCTAGGGTGCAGCACCTTGAAACTGTTAGCAGCAACTGCACTGTGAGTTCCATCCCCCGCCAGGAGGTGACAGATGGGCATGGCACACTTCTCCTGTCTCACTTGCTGCTCCCCTCAGCAGAATATTTCCGTTGATCTGCCTGTTCTGTACCCCACTCTGTCTCTGGTGAATCCTCTCACCCCCTATACCATTGGCCTATACCAGTTCTTGTATGCATAAGTAAATCATAAAAAAAAAAAATTTTTTTTTAGGCTAATTCCTTTCTAAAATTTGAGTATTTCTTCTGAAGGTTTCTTTTCTAAATCTGGCATTAAAGTGATTACATGGGGGGAATAATGGTAGTTAGAGTGAAGCAATTTCCACATATACCTCAAATTAGTTCAGTCTACCTTATTAATGATAATTTAAAATGTTTTACTGTTGATGTCACAAATATCATTATGGCAGTTTTAAATAAAACTTACCCTTAATCCTGTTTCCCTGAGATATTTTGTAGGAAAACATACACTGGTTTGAAATTATACTGAAGTTAATATTTTGTGTTTTAATTTTATTGTAACTTTTTAAAAATTTGTATTGATATTTTTAAAACAAAGGAAATGTAAAGACTAATGTAAAATATTATTATTATTATTGTTATTTTAAAGATTTATTTACTTATTCATACAGAACTAGGCTACAGGCCAGAGATGCAGAGGGTGAGAGGATTCACCAGAGACAGAGTGAGGAGCAGAACAGGCAGATCAACGAAGTACACTGCTGAGGGGAGCAGCGGGCGGGTCAGGAGAGGTCTGCCATGCCATGTGGTCTCCTCCGGGGCAGACGGGAATCGAACTCATGCGGAAGTGGCTTAAGCTTCTTAGTGCAGTGCTTTAACCCTATGCCACCAGGGAGGGCCGTAAGATACTATTTTAAATTGAAATTTTAGTTGATTAGAAAGTTGAATTTAAGAACTTTGTATTTATATTTGAAGAACAAGTGAACTAGTTGAAAAATTTTAGGTCCCCTTGCCTTTATTAAATTAGGTATATGGTAAAATGGGAGGGAGAGGGAGATTGGTAGAGGCAGGGCAAGCTTAGGTTAAATTTCAGTAATTTGAAGTTAACTTGTACATACCAATGTACTCTTCTCCTGGTTAAACAACTATAGAGCCACACAAATGAACATTATGCATAAATGAAGTAACTAATGATATGGATGATTTTTTAGGATTTATTATTAAATGAAAAGACCAGGGGCAGGGTAATATTTATAGAAAGGGGGAAATAACATACATTTTTATTAGCTTTTATCTGCACTAAAATCTTGGAAGGAGCTATACAAGACTAACAGCAATGATTACAAGTGCTCTTTGTGGTGGTATGAAACTACCTGTAGTCATTACTAGAATCATAATTATGTCTATGTCTTGTGGGACTGGTTGAAGAGTAGAGTGGAAGGGATGTATGTGAGATTTCTTAAAATATACCTTACATTCTTTTGATTTTGAACCACTTGAATATATTACTTTTTAATTTTATTTAATTTTTGAAGATTTATTTATTTTTGCATACAGGAACTGGGGTGTAGGCCAGAGGTTGGAGTGAGGGTGAAAGGATTCACCAGAGACAGAATGGGGAGTAGAACAGGCAGATAGACAAAGTACATTGCTGAGAGGAGCAGCGGGCGGGTCAGGAGAGTTCTGCTGTGCCATGTGGGTCACCTCACTGGCCAGGGATTGAACTCTAGTTGCAGTGGCTGCAGATAGTTTCATAGTGCTAGGCTTTACTCCTTGCTCTAGCAGGGAGGCCCTACATATATTCCTTATTTGCAATCAAAACAAAAAACATGTTTCAGAAGCTTTCCTAGCCTATGGCTATTGTGTAATACATCTATTTGCTATATTTTTTGAATGTTTAATAAATTCTTAAAAAATTAAAAATAGGATTAGTAAACACTTTTGATTAAACAGTACTATTTTATCCACACAAAAAGATGTTTGTAATAAGTATGCTTCTAGTGATGACTCTGTATAGTTGTTTCATGCCACCGCAAAGGGTACTTAATAAGTTTTGCTGGAAGATTCTAAGCGTTCAAGACAGTATATACATGTCAGCTTGGTATTATAAACGGTGACAGGTTGTCTGTGTAAATTTATTGACAACTTATGATTTACTCAAAATATTCACTCTTTAGTTAGCTTCTGAGCATAGCTGAAAAAAGTAAACCAGGTCATATAAAGTCATTTTTACCCCTATATTTAATGTGATTTATTTTCTTAAAGCAGAGTAGAGCTCTAGTAATTCTGCTGTGTTTAGGGTAAAGTCAAAATAATACTTGGGTGGATTAGATGTAATTAGACATACAGAAACTCATTTACTAATTTACTAGGGGTCTTCTAATATTCTGAGATGATGATTTTTGAAATCAGAATATAAATTTGTATCAAGCAAATGCTGTAAATTTGCCTTAGAAGGAATAAGAGAAAATATTAATAAAGTAAAAGAACAGTTTGTTGTACCTTTCTGGGTTACTGGAATGGAAAGTGTTAAGTAAATAACATATGATATTTGATGAGTATTCCTTAGACAAATGTGTGTGTGTGTATGTGTGTGTGTGTGTGTGTATATATATATATATATTATTTTGTGTCATTTAAGATACATTTCCTTCTTTTTTCCCTCCTTTTTAAAAAAGCTTTACTGAAATATTTATGGAGGTAGAACTTGGAACCTTGAATTGCCAGATCAGAATAAAATTATGCTTTTGCTGTTTATAAAGAAGCCCTTGAATTGAATTCCCTAATGCCTTTAAGCATACCACTTGAAAATGTGATCTATTAATCATAATAGCCTTTAAATACAGAGCAATTCACTAAGACCTGGAACTCTATGAGATAGGCCATATCTTCAGTTTGGTTGAAAAGACAGTGTAACTATAAATACTTAATGAATAAAATGTAGACAATGATACTGTTAAAAGTGTGAATACTAGGGGTTTCTAAACCCCTAAATGAGTTACAGCTATTTCCTTTATTTGACAATTTACTTTAATTTTGTCTTGAGATTTTTGGGGGGACTCTATACTCTATTACAAACAGGAATCTTTTCTTGGCAATTAAACCCTCTATGCTAAACTGGAGAGCTCTAATACTTCATAAAACAGCGTTTGGATTTTGTAAGGGTACTTTGCTCATGCTACCTGAATGCTGCTAAAAAATAGAAGGGAGTAAAATTTATGAAAAATCTTTATAGTATAATCTTAGCAGTGAAGAAAAAGGCAGGAATTAGAACTTTAGGTCAATATGTATATGTATAGGTAATATCTGAGAATCCTAACATTTACTAAACAATGATATTTTTACACTTGAATGTATAAAATTAGAAGCTTGGCCAACAGTTGATACTGATTTTAGTAGACATGAATGATTGTTCTCAGCCATGAAAGTAACCATAATATTGCAAAAGATGCATGCTTCCTACCTAATTCTTAGGTATATTTTAATTTTAAAATGTAGTTTATCAAAAAGACTATTTTGAGGATGAAAACTAATATTACGTTGAAATACTGTGATAAATACATATTTTTGTGTCAAAAAATGAAAGGTTGTTTAGTAGGAGGTTTTCATTTAATAATAGCTTGATGTATTATGTATATTATAGTAATAAAGACTAACATTTCATCATAAGGAATTATTTTAATTAGAATGTTAGAAAAGTCTGAAGCAGTGAAAATGATCTCTGTTAATAGTATAATGCTGTCTAATGTTTTTATGGTCTTTTTTCCTTATATAAAAATCATAATTGTGATAATCCCTCAACATTTTCTGCATCTGCACACAAAGTAAAAAAAATTGAAAATTGACTTATTTGTTAAAATATAACAAATTTTTTTTTGTAAGTGTCTGCTTTTTATCAGCTAGCCTAATTTGCACATGCAATAAGAAAGCTTCATTCCAGGCTTTGCGTAGTCTAGGTTTTTCTTTAAGAAAAATCCTTTGTTAAGGCAGATGATCATGCTGAAATGCGGTAGCGCAGAGAAAATGAAATGAGCAAGTAACCACTTAACATCGGGTGCTATGGTTTACTCTAAGGTTTGGATATAAATCAGGTTCAGAGAAAATGCCATGAATTTTCCATTAAGACATAGATGATAAAGGTGTTCATCAAATAATGTAAGGCAATCTTCACATTTTAAATTAAATCCTACCATGCAATGAAGTAAAGATAATGCCCCCCCCCTTTTTTTTTTTTTGCGGGGAGGTGGGGGGAGGTTTTCAGTAGGAACAAAGCTCTCTGCTTGGTTTTTATAGTAAAATATTTTCATCCTGTATCATAAGGATATGTATATTAGTAAATGAAAAAGATAAAAACCTACCTCTTGTCTGAAAGGCTGCTATTGAAGTGATGGTATCGTCTGTTTGTAATGCAGTCTAGAGCACAGCCAAGATGGAGCTGTTCTTCTATTGGTTGAAACACAGTGCAGCTGACAGTTCCCTCTACTTTCATTTGCATTAAGTCCTGCTCCCTTAAGAGTAAATCATTCATAAACTTGAATAGAGCTATCTGGGATATCACTTGTCATACCCACACCACTCTTTCTTCATTTTTAGTTTCTAAGCTTAATTACTATGTAGTAATTAATACATTGATGATTCCTTAATGTTTAACTTCAGAATTTTGCAGTAAATATTTCAGTGCTAGGGCTAGGAGATAACATCAAAAGAGGCTAGTAACCTAGAAAACAGTTTACCAGTTTGTTACTGTCTCCAGGAAATGTATAAATTTACCAGTTTGCATTTACCAGTTTGTTACTGTCTCCAGGAAATGTATAAATTTTCATAAATAAAAATTTCTTTTTTGTTTCATAATATAAATCTTTCTTCTTGGAAGTGATTATTTCCAGGTGGTGATTGGATTTAGTAAAAATTCTGAGGGAGTAAAAATAAGCTTTCCAGTTTGATATGTTGGGAGAGGATTAATTTGGTAGGTAGATTACATTAAAAAAACCACCTGAAATTTAAATGGTAGAAGAATGGATGTTGGATGCTTAAAGATAGAATGTTGTTACATTTTGTATATTTGAATTTTGGTGTAAGCATAATAGATTTAAGTTTTAAAGTTACAGGAATAGCTGCTCTAACAGGAGGCTAGTTAAATGGTTACATGGAGACTCGTTTTTTAAAATTATAGAAAATCAGCACATTAATTTCTGAGGTCATAAAAGGGGTACTTGGAAATATTCTGTTTATTCATTTAACTATGTTTGACATTGAGTTAAATGCTGGAGGTTCCATGCTAAACAGAGCTATGAGGTTTAACATCTGTATGTGGTTTAACTGTATGTTGTTAAGCATTTGTACTGTGCTTAGTTTACATATTGCCATAGTTATTCATAGCTTTCTTAGTTGAATGGCATTGTATAATAGACCTAATATTATTTTACTAAAGTTGAATAAGAATACATTCAGTTGTATTTGTGGATTAATCTGTGTTGAAGGCTAGATTGTGATTCTTAAACAGGGAAGCATCTCTCCTTTGCCAATTACTGCACTCAGTTTTATTTTTAAAACAGAACAATAATACCTCCTAAAAGAAGGATTTTGGGGAGGGATTAAATTTTTAGCATGGAGCGTGGCAAATAGTAAGCATTCAATAAACTATTATCCGTTCTACTACTATTCATAACTACTGTTGTTGTAATGTGCATCTGAAACACTGGAATATGAACCATATCATGTATTTTATCTCTGAAATAAAAAGGTAAAGCTGTGATTATTTGCAGATGATATAATACATACGGCCCTAATTTTCCACAGAACAACTAATTAAAACAATAAACCAATTCAGTAAAGTAGCAGGGTACCAAATCAATACACAAAAATCAGTATCCTTTTTTTTAAAAAAAGATTTAATGCATTCAGAACTGGATATAAATCAGAAGTGTTGGTGAGAGAAAACACTAGAGACTGAGTGGGGAGCAGATCAACTGAAATAACACTGTTTTGGCTAGCAGTGGGTGAGACAGGAGAGGGGTGCCACACCATGTGGGTCACCCCATTGGCTAGGGATTGACTTCATGCTGCAGTGACTGCAGATAACTTCACAGTGCTTTAGCCCCTTGTGCCACAGGGAGTCCTGTAAAAAAAGAAAAATAATCAGTACCCTTTCTATATGCAAACAGTCAATAAGAAGAGAAAGAAATTGAGAAAACCATCCCATTAACAGCTCTTCCCCCCACCTCCCAAAATTAAATATCCAGGAATAAAACTAACAAATGAAATGAAAAGACCTATACAACCAAAATGTTAAAATACTGTTAAAAGAAATAAAAGACATTAAGAAATATAAAGACATTTCCTGAAATGCTCATGATCAGCAGAATCAACATAATCAAAAAGGCCAAAATAACCAAAGCGTTTTTAACATTTAATGTAATTCCAATAAAAGTCTCAATGGCGGGCCCTCCCTGGTGGCGCAGCGGGTTAAAGCACAGCACTGAGAATCTGAAGCCGCTTCTGCATGAGTTCGATTCCCGCCTGCCCCTGAGGTGACCACATGGTGTGGCAGACTTCTCCTGACCCGCCCGCTGCTCCCCTCAGCAGTGTACTTCTTGATCTGCCTGTTCTGTTCCCCACTCTGTCTCTGGTGAAGCCTCTCACCGCCCCTGAGCCTCTGGCCTATACCCCAGTTCTGTATGCACAAATAAATAAATAAATCTTAAAAAAAAAATAAAAGTCTCAATGGCATTCTTCAAAGAAATGGAACAAATATTGCTGAAATTCATATGGAATCACAAAAAATCCCTAATAGCTAAAGCCTGCCTGGCCAAAAAGAGGAAGAATGAAGGCATTATATGTGCAGACTTCAAATTGTGCTACAAAACTATGATAATAAAAACAGCATGGTATTGGACCAAATACAGACAGCAAAGAGCAATGGAATTGAAATGAAAGCTTAGAAGTAAATGCACAGATATGGAGCAAAGAATATACACTGGAATAGGCTGGAAAATGGATCGCCACATACAAAAGAATGAAATTAGAGTATTATCTTATACCCTACACAAAAACCAACTCAAAAGCGGCTATAACTGAAATTTTGTAAAAGCACACTGTAAGACATTTTTCTTGTTACTTTTTTTTAAAAGCTGTCAACTAATTCACCCTTCCCACAGCCCTTGCAACCACTGATCTACTTTCTGTCTCTATGGATTCTGGACAAGTTATAGCAATGGAATCATACAATGTGTGATCATTCTTTTTTGAAAATGATTTATTTTTCCCCTCTTACATACAGTTTTTAACATTATATTAATGGTTCTGTCACCATTTTCATAGCATAATTTGAATGTCTCTCACTGCTATAAGAAACTTCAATTTATTTGGGCGCTGTTTACCCAACTAAAACATTACAAAGGTGACTTTAATGTACCAATTAAGTTATTATCAAAATTGTAGCCAAGTTATTTTTGAAGGAAAATTGTATGTGAAGTCTAAAAATATATTCAATGAAATCTTATCACTAATCTCAAAGGAATATTAAATTGCCATTTAGAAGCTTTTTTCTTTTTTGATTGCTGACATGTTAACTTTTGACATGCTTTTAATGTATTCTTTTGTTTAAATTGTTAACAAATTGGTATCACAGACTGACTTTCTTTTATTTAACCTCTTTGTGAATCAGTTGCTTGGGAACTTTAACAGTATTTGATCCTGATTCCTTGCTAGTAATAGAATGTATACTTTTGAAATAATGTTCTACTATAATTTAAAAAATTGTTTTGCCTATGACTAATGGAATATATTTATGATGGAGTGGCAGCATTAGGATTTCTAAAGTGTGCTACCAAATAATAAGATGTTCTAATTTTCTGTACAAACTCTTTTCATGCTGTTCTTTTTTTTTTTAAAGGAGCATTTTCTTTTTTAAAAAGGTTTATTTGGGCCCTCCCTGGTGGTGCAGCGGGTTAAAACACTGCACTAAGAAGTTTAAGCCACTTCTGCATGAGTTCGTTTCCCGCCTGCCCCAGAGGAGATCCACTGGTGAGGCAGCCCTCTCCTGACCCTCCCGTTGCTCCCCTCAGCAGTGTACTTCGTCAATCTGCCTGTTCTGTTCCCCACTCTGTCTCTGGTGAATCCTCTCACCCTCTGCATCTCTGGCCTGTACCCCAGCTCTATATGAATAAATAAGTAAATCTTTAAAAAAAAGATTTATTTATACAGAACTGGGGTACAAGGCAGAGGTTCAGGGGCCATGAGAGGCCTCACAGAGGCCTCACAGGAGCATAACAGGCAAATTGATGGAACACACTGCTGAGGGAAGCAGTAGTGGTCAGGAAAGGTCTGCCACTCAATGTGGATCTTCTCCCCGCGGGCTCAGGGGATCGAAAACGCATTGAAGTAGCTGCAGCCAGCTTCAGTGCTACATCCTAAGGCTTTGCGCCACCAGGGAGGGCCATTGTCATTCTTTTTTAAGTGTCCCATGTTTGTACAATGATGGCTTTTGTGTTTATAGTGTACCTTTAAAATAGTTATGTTATCATTCTTAGGTTTAGTTATTTGTTGTAAGTCGGCAATATTGATGCAATAATTGAAAATTTTAACTTTTTATCATTCATAAGTACCAAGTCATGGTTTTGAATTTGCTAGAGAAGTTCTATGGGTCACATTGAGGTTTGTATTGTTCTCTTGTTTAAAATACTGTGCTCCTAATTATGGAGGAAATCTTACCACAGCTAAGAAAAATGCTGAGATAAAGATATTTAGAAATATACCCGATTGCTTTTTTAAGTTGTATTTTTGTTTATCTTTTTTGAGTTATATTTTTGTTCCTTTCCTTAGTGAAAGAATTGATGGTTATGCAGAAGTTTTTGTTTTTCACCAAAATTTTACAGTACAGGGTTTACTATATAGAAAAACTCAAACAAATATTTTATCAGCATTAAAATAGTATTACTGCTTAAAAGTCATAATCATATCTAATATGAATATAATTGTTTGAACCTCATTTCCAGATCATAGCAATGGATCATTTAACTTGAAAGCTCTATCAGGAAGCTCTGGATATAAGTTTGGCGTTCTTGCTAAGATTGTGAATTACATGAAAGTAAGTATTTTTCTCAGTTAACAAAAATTGTGTTAGCCTTTTGGCAGAGAAGGGGATTGTAAATTTAGAAGCAAATTTATATATACTTGTCAATCTTTCAAATTATATGTATTAAATAAGTGTAATTTATTGTATGTCTGTTATACCTCAGTGAAGTTGCAAAAAAAATATTTCATGTTTCATGCCTTTTACATTTTATTAAGCTAGCATTGCAGTGATTTGCATAAGTTTATTTAAGAGCACAATTTAATCCCACCAGTTCACTTAATAAAATTCTGACCAGGTAGCTCTCAGTACCTCTTTGCAAAAACAATGGGAAGATATAAGTGATTTATAGGATATTCCATTATGCAAAAAATAAAAATTTATGTAGTTCAGGCTGATGGTGATGATGGTTTCCTATATTTTGGGGGGAAAATTAGAGAATTACCAAGGGTCTTAGAAAAATGAATTCTCAAAAAATTGAATTTAATAATTAATGGAAGATTTTGTATTTCTTGAAGTAGTTTTTGAGGTTTTGATGATAATGACATTTTGGCTTTACTATAGACTTTGACTCCTAACATCACTTCTTACAATGAAATTCACTGATAATTAACTTGGCTAAATGATTTCTAATTTGCCCCTGCTGCAGTTACCAGTTGTATCTCTTGAAAAGAGTTGAAGAAAGAACTATGTTGTTATTTCACATTCAGCTATTGTGTTTTTTTTTTTTTTTTATAGTGAGCCTTTTCTTTTGTTATTTAAGAATCTTGGTGTTTGTGTTTGAATGCTCTGGTTTTTATTTGATTTCTAGTAGAAATCTATTTTTAACTTCCCATGTAAAATAATAGTCTTTGACATATGTATTTGCTGTTCATTCATCCCATCCATGATCCCTCATGGTAAGCAGTTATTAAAACCTATAATATTTATGGGATGAATAGTGGGAATACCCACTATGCTTTCAAGGTTATGAATCTGTTAGAGACTGGCATTTAAATATCATGTTTTTGCTATTTTGCTAGTAGTCTTCATTGACCTAAATAATGCTTACTTATAGGACAGTGATCTTACAGTTTTTACTCAGATGTTGCCTGAAGCAACTTTGAGAAACAGTCAACTGTTATATTTTTAGTGAGAAATGATAGTTCACAATATAATCAGATAATTAAGTGATAATTGCAGTTTTTCAGGAATAATCATAGGATAGACTTTTTGTAATCTTGTAATATTTCAACAAAATTATATTAAACTTAAGGGAATGGAAATATTTAAAAATATAAAAAACTTCCATGGTTGGAAATTTTAACTTTCTTTGAATTAATGTGTCTATTCTTTTAGGGTCATTGAATTTTATCATGTTGCATATTTTTGTGTTTTAAAATCTTTTAGTTATCCTCAGTGAAACATTGTTGCCACAATAATATGTGTGTAAATTGAATTTAAAACCAGTTCTTTGTGACTATTGGATTCTTAAATTTATTTTTAAATTATTTACTAGGTAATAATGTTGGTTTACCGTATTTTGTATGGTTTAGGGGTATAGGTTTATACCACAACAGAGCATCAATAATCTTTTACCATAGTCGATCGATCTCTTTGTGTTAAAAATATCTCTGATTTGACTTACTGCTATTTTTACTACAGTTGATTTGAATAACATAGGTTGAAGTTTTGATAAAAAATAAATGACCTTTTAAGGTCTTTTTAAAAAAAGATTTATTTATGCATACAGAGCTGGGGTACAGGCCAGAGGTTCAGGGCAGTGAGAGGATTCACCAGAGACAGAGTGGGAAGCAGGACAGGAAGATCAACGAAGTACACTGCTGAAGGGAACAGTGGGCGGGCCAGGAGAGGTCTGCCACACCATGTGCTCACCTCTGGAGCAGGGATCAAACTTATGCTGAAGTGGCTTTAGTTTCTTAGTGCTGTGCTTTAACCTGCTGCACCACTAGGGAGGGCCCTCAAGGTCATTTTATTTATTTATTTTTTTAAGGTAATTTTTAAGTGAAATAAATAAGTTGTCTTTTCTTTCTCCTTCAGTGGTCTTGTTATCTGGAGATATACATTACTTATTGATGGAATAAGCATTTGGCACCAATTTCTAGTCTTATTTTTAGATTTTTTACATCTGAATGCTAAAAAAAAAAAGTTCACATAAATAAGTTCATTCTAGTGGAAATTTTGTGATAGCAAAACCTTCCTAAGTTACATGCCCAAAATCACTTAGTAAATTACCTTAAGTTTCTGTCGACCATTATATTTTGTCCTGATCTTCATCCAGTTTTGCTGGACACAAAAGGATGGGAACTGTCTAATTTGCTAAAGCGTTTATTACCTATACCTTTACCATTTACTTTCTTAGTGTCTATAAAGTAGACAAAAGAAGGCTTTATTGTGACTTAGCAAATACCCAATGATAATTCCCCTCTCCCCCTTATAGGTACTTCCTTTAATATGACTATATATTCAAAAGTGGTTGAGAAAACAAAAATGTTATTAATTCAGTACATCTCTGCCAGTGCAATTTGTTTGATAAAATGCTATTTATATGTGTTAAGTATATTTTATGTCAAAACCTTTAGGTTGAGTTTTAGTTAATTCAACTTTTGAGTAGTATCTCTGAGTTAACAAAGCTAATCTCCACTGTCAAAAAAAGCCACAATGTCAAACTTGTTTTTTTAACCATAAAATATCATTTTAAAATTCAGAAAAACAGGCTTATGTATATATATTTATAAATTTAAAAAATATATTTATGCGTACAGACCAGAGGTGCAGGGCAGTGAGAGGATTTACCAGAGACAGAGTGGGGAGCAGAACAGGCAGATCGACGAAGTACACTGCTGAGGGGAGCAGTGGGCGGGTCAGCAGAGGTCTGCAGTGCCATGTGGTCACCTCCAGGGCAGGCAGGAATCCAACTCATGCGGAAGTGGCTTTAGCTTCTCAGTGCTGTGCTTTAACCCGCTGCACCACCAGGGAGGGCCTATATTTATAAATTTAATAATATACAACCACTCAGATAAATTATAGAATGAATGCTAAGATTACAGTAATACATGGATTTAAGAGAATTAATTTTTATAATACAAATTTTATAATCCATTTTTATAACAATTTTAAAAGTATGAAAATGAACAAGGTAAAATTCAGTTGATGCTATTGAGTTACATTGCATCATTTATTAATAAAATGTTTATGAAGTAAGGCATATGATAGAAGGTATGTTTTTCCTTTTCTAACTTTGTGTGCTTGCTCTTCTAATCTCTGATATTCAGCTTCTACGTATAAATAAAAGATGCATGAATTTTATTTTAGGATAATTAATGAAAAAGAAGGATTCCCGTTGCAAAAAACAGATTGGTCTCATAGCTAACACATGACTAAAAGAAATAGGTAGAAATATTAATATGTTTAGAAGATAGACTGAAAATTTACTAATTGGAATAGAAGTTGCATGACTTATAAAACAAGTTTTACTACATTAAATAATGCGCACTCAATCTAAAAAGGTTCATATGTAGTTTTCATTAATGGGCTTTGCATAGCATAGTATGGTAGTTGTAGAAAATGTTATATTTAAAAGAATCATCGTCCTTAATACTGCTTGCTTTTTGAATGTGCTTTTTTTTTAAAGATTTATTTGTGCATACAGAATTGGGGTACAGGCCAGAGACTCAGGGGTGGCGAAAGACTTCACCAGAGACAGAGTGGGGAGCAGAACAGGCAGATCGACGGAATACACCACTGAAGGAAGCAGTGGGCAGGTCAGGAGAGGTCTGCCACACCATGTGGTCACCTCCGGGGCAGGCAGGGATCGAACTCATGCGGAAGTGGCTTCAGCTTCTTAGTGCAGTGCATTAACCCACTGCGCCACCAGGGAGGGCCTGAATGTGCTTTTTATTTAAGCTGATAAATGTTAAAGAAATAGAAATGATTTTTGAGAATTTCCAAGAATTAGTTACATTTAAGTATCAAAAAAAAAAAACAACCTGTCTTTATTGTATTTTATACTAATACCCCCTTTTTCTACCCCCTTTGGGTTTATCAGGTTCTCTTCTGAGAGTAATGCATTATTGAATAATATAGCATGGATGGTGAGATATGTAGGGATGGAGGAAAGTTATTCAAAGAGAAACTGCTCTTAAATGCCCTCAAACAGTAACATATTCAAATTTAGAATAAACAAGAACCAAAATATTCTCTTTTTAATTCTAACAAAAATTAGAGTGTAGAATGGAAAAATAAAGTGTAGAGTGTAAGAATGGAAAACACAAGAATCCATATAGTGGGTTGTTTATCATACCTCAATTATCATTTCTGAAACTGCCCCCCAATAATTTTGGGGGGGGCTTGCTCTTTTGGTTAGATTTCTTGATTTACTACACCTCTAGGCATTGTATCATAAATTCTGGGTGGAGGTAAGAAGTGCATTTTATTTTTTGGTAAAGGAGGGAAGAGGTCTATTTGGAAAGGGAAAGAATACATATGGAAGGTGTTCTATCCATTGATTCTTGAAAAGTTTTCAGCTTTAAGGGATTCCCTTATTGAGATCTGATAAAACTTACGAATTTAGAATGAGAGTAAAATGAGTCACCACCAACAAAGCTCCTCATGGTTTACTCACTCACATAGAACCTTTTTTTTAAGAAGCACTATTTAGTTACTCAGTGAGAATTAGGCAGAGATAAGGTGGAGAGACTTTGTAGGGGTGCCAGGGGAACTGTTTGAGATAGGTACAGTAAGATTTACATCAGGAAGTATTAAACAGAAAAAAAAAATGAAGACATAGAAGAACTTCAAAATCATAACATTGAGAATATCTGACATAGGGACATATTCCTCATGATTTCCCAAGATGGTTATTGTGATATAGGTGCATTTTATTGCTTAAAATTACTTGGAATTTCCCTTTTAAAGGATACCTACCACTTTATGAGACACTGGTTCTGTGTACTTGGCTTTTGTTCGATTGATTTTTTTTCTTGCTCTCTGTATTACCTATTCAATGTGAGTGT